ATAAGTATTTTGTGGTGTAAAAATAAAAACACTCAGATTAAAGCACACGCAAATCATATCTGTCATTCCACAGCTGATAAATATTAAGTACCAACCCAAAAAATTTAGTGAAAATTCGTAAAACCCTAAAAAAGTTACTAAGTCGCGGCGATTTTATTGCATGAAAATAGAACATGTTCTATTTTGAGACAGGTTAGATCAGCTGATTAGTTGCATCGTGTGACCACCAAAAAATCGCCGCGAGAAGTTGCACCGTCAGACATGGACTTAACAATGCTTCCGCCCAAGGTTTAGCTTTACCACGAAATAAGTCAGAACAAATCATTATTGTTTCATGCATTGGAACGTCAAAAAGTCGCAGCATATGCTCCAATCTGTTAATAAATTCAACCGGATGGACTTCACTGGTGTCTTCAAAGTAAGGGAGCATTTTCTTAATTTGTTTTATAGTTTGGATCAGTGTACTATTGTTGGGACTGTCCAATCTATGGTTATGTGAAAAATTAAGGTTAGGAAAAGTGTTTTGGTGTAAGTTTCTGAAATTTGTGTTTCCAGGCTGCGTTTCAAGAAAAATAGGTTGACCAGAACTTCCCCAAACTGGCTGATTACCGTTTACATTGATTGGAGGTAAAAAATTAACATAGTTTGATTGTAAGTTATTATAATTACAATTTTTAGGTACTGCTCCTGTACTTGCAGCCATATTACTAATAAATTGGGTGCCTGAAGTTAACTGTACCCCTCCTCTTAACATGTGTTGTCTGCCAGTTTGTAGGTCACTACTCCCATTGAATAATAAAGGAACATTCCTACCTTCGGTGCTGTTTGACAAGTTTACATTCCGGATGTCAGTGGCATTGACCTGGTTGAACTGCCACTCCCCTGGGGCACTAGTAGACCTAGTGGGATGTGGATGTGGTGAGACCAGATAAGAACTATGCAATGTCCCTTCCTGATGGACAGCTGTTGTCCCTGTTGCCTGGCTCCCCGATGTTTCAACTTCCTGACCATGCTCAGCATGATTCCTGAAAGCACTAGGAGTAGCTTGGTGTGGCCTTGTTGCTTGTGCTGGAGGCAAGCCTCCTGCCTCGTCCTGGCAATAACGGTGACTTCGTAACACCCTGTCTTCCGTAGGGTTTTGGTAGCCTCCTCTCTTCATGATCTATATATATTTTTTGTCTTTTTTAGGGTTAATGGTTAACACTGGCCCCTTATGTTGGGCGTCAAGTTGTAGCGTAGCAAGGTCTCTTGTCGTTTTTTCTGTTTACTAATTACTCTCCATCTTGAAACGTTTTCTTTCTCTTAATCCTTGAATTTGAATCCTCGACTCAAGTATAGAGCATACAACATTTATTTTTACATACCCTGCTTAAAATACCCCATAGAGACCCTGTTGAAACCGATAGATATTTGTATCGGAATGTATGGTGTTTTGTAGCGTAGCACGGGAGCCGATGTGCCACGAATCTCAGGGTTGGCTTCGGTTAGACAAAAATACACAATTGCTTGTTACCTTGATGGTTTAATCGGATAAGAAGACTACACTTTTATAAAACCCAGTTATCAGCCAGCAAAACGCGAATGGTTCAATGAAATCTGGAATGTCGAGCAATTAGTACACACATCCTTTTGTTGTTAAAAATGCTACCCTTATAAGGGCTCGATATTCCAGATTTCATTGAACCACACTGGTCCGAATCGTGCTTGACCTTGGCCAAAAGCCCAAAAATAAAGGTATTAATTATGACATTATTTTAATTCATACAGGTAGACAAATGTTTGAAGTATTTAAAAACCAAAGAGTTTAGGTATAAAATCGCCCAACTTGATCCCTAGGGCAGTTTTATTTAACCTTTTTTTGCAATTGCTTGGAAACAGTTATTGTGTTGATTTTGATTGTGCAACAAAAGTGCTATAGTCGCGGCCAAATCTGTATGGGTGCACGTCATCAACGGCATATGACGTCAGCGTTAAGGTCTATTCATACGTGCCCAGACACAATCTAACGCTCGTGTATTGTTGACTGTTTATAGCGGTGGGGGCTGTTATTAAGATTGAATTATAACGTCCTTGTTATAATCTTCTGCACTAACTAATTAGGAGTTTGTTACAGGCAAATTTTTATTAAATGTGTTTAAAGAGAAAACAAACGGAGTTTATTACATTTTTATTACATATGCACATAACAAAAAATACTAAATTATCAGAAACACAAAAATAATAAATTACAAGTCGTCCTTGTCATCAGAGCAAACCAGGTCAGAATTGAAGTCTGATTATTTCCCCAAATTTATTATTAAGGGCGCAATGTCTTCGAAATCTAATAACGGCTAGTTGCCAACAAGCCTTATATCATTGTTTGCACAATCCAGGGATTGAATCTTATAAACATAATGTATAATATTATTTATAATAATTTGCAACAAACGATGCACAGAACATGCTTCCGGACGAAATGTCACAATTACAAAAACACGTCAAATATAAAATGACAGCGACCCATCAATAATATTGAAAGGTGCGCGCCAGCCTTAAGCTATTACCAACTGGCACACACAAAAATTACTAAGTGAATGGTTTTATTTTGATAATTTCGTGAAAAAACGTTTTAAAACAAGGAAATTGTTACAGTTCTTGGTAAACAATACGCAAATGAATGATTTCTTTTTAATAACACATCAGAATTACGCAAATTTAACGGCAGTAACTTTACAATTCAAAGTTGGTAATGCTGACGTCATTATATCTCATTGATGACGTGCACCCATATAGATTTGGCCGTGACTATATTATTTCGTTAACGACTTGTTCGATTTTAACAGTTCAAAATGGAAAATGTTTCTGAAGGTATGTACAATAATTTTATAAAATTATATTTTTGAAAAAAAAAATATTTGTTGTTAAAATTTATACTAACATAATGGCCTGATTTTAATTTTTTTTCGATTTTTTCGTTTTTTTTTTTACTTGGAATAAGTTAAAATGTGGGCATTTGCGGAAGACGTTTTTTACGGGGAAACGTTCATTGAAGTGTCTATTATAAGGTTCTTAAAAAATTGGCTGCAGCCACTTGCGCGAAAATTAATAAAACAATAATATACACGTTCGTGCCCGGATTTGAGACAGTAGTCGCGGTTAAACGCAGTGATGCTTAGTAAATATATTTTTTAAGATTTTAATAATAGGATAACAAATATACAGAAAAAATTATTTATGCAAATGGTTTATTAATTTTTGCACTACATATAAAAATATTTTTACTTTCATCAAAAAGATGTTTTAATTCAAGAAATATTAATTATTATTACCTTTAAAAATAATGTTATTTAATTTATAAAACCATGTTTAAAAATAATAATTCACTTTATTTAAAAGGAAAAAGCAAATTTATTAACTTATATATTAAAAACAAACTTTACACTTTTATTTCTGAATTGCATTTACTCGTTTAAATTTAAATAAAAGTTGATTTCTTAAAATATAAATTTAATTTACTTTTTTTAAACATTTGAAAAGTTTAAATTAAAATAAATATTGATTTAAAAGAATTAATTTAACTCTCAGTTATTAAAAGTAGGTATATTTGTATGTGAAGGTACAAAAATGGTGTAATCCGCCACTTTTGGTCCGCTATTTTAAATTTAATAATTTTGATATCAAATTCGTGATAAGCGACCCCAAAAACCTAAAAATTAACATTTTCAGGACAATTAACTAATTATTTTTCAAAAAAATCCGCCATTTTTGGTCCGCCATTTTTAATTTAATAATTTTAATATTAAATTCGTGATGAGCGACCCCAAAAACCTAAAAATTAACATTTTTTAGGACAATTAACTAATTTTTTTTTTAAAAGTCCGCCATTTTTGGTGCGCTATTTTGAATTTAATAATTTTGATATCAAATTTATAATAAGCGACCCCAGAAACCTAAAAATTAACATTTTCATGACGATTAACCAATTATTTGTCAAAAAAGTCCGCCATTTTGAATTTAATAATTTTGATATCAATTTCGTAATCAGCGACCCCAATAACCCTAAAATACAAATTTTCACATTATTACAATCACTTTTCGAGTTTTGGCCAGAGAATAAGTCAATTCGGACCAGTGTGCCTTACCTGGACACCAGATTATAGTTTAAATATTTAGAAATATAAAACTTATAGAAATCCAGAGGATGACACAGATTAAATGAGTTAACGTAGTATTACGCTCTCTCTACACAAAGCAATCCAAAATGGAAGCAATTATCACAAAAACTATAGGTACAGGGTGTCTCTCGAACCCTTTTAACTCCTACTGAATATGCAACCCATTATACATTCAAGTACTTAAGAAGTGATTATTTTTTAATTATTTATTAGTTAAACAAATGACAAGCGCAATTATTCTGTTATCTAATGTTTACAAATCCAATAGAGTTTGGTTATTATGCTTTTTTTTACTATGTTAGGGTTATAATGATTAATGTGTTAGTTTATTCTGTGTGTCTAATGTTTATTATTGGTCTTGTTTGGGTTTGCCTTACGCATTTACGCAGTGTGCCTTTCTTAGGATTTTAAAGATATCTGTCGTGTTTAATTTGCAGATTATGTGTTAGGTCATCCATATGCTTAAGGTTACTTATCAATTTTTTGCGGATGGCCACCTCCCCTCTTGTTTGACCTCCTTTGTTTGTCCAGTGAAAAGCGTCCAATGACAGGTGGCATACATTTAGGACCAGAAGCTGAAACCCGTCACTTAACTCATTCAAATTACTTAACACTTCACTCCTCATTGACCGTTACACCATTTTAGTTTGCACTTTATGAAAATTGTTTGTTTCACTATAATTGGTTTGCACTTTTTAAAAATTATTGTTGGTTTTAATTTTTAAACTTTTACATTTTAAGAGCTCTCGCTCTCGCGTCGTGCCTTCTCAAGTGCTGGAACCTGACTGGCCTTTAATAGGTATGTATGTTTATTTTTAAATTAAATTTAAATTAAAAATAAAAATTTGTCCAAATAGGAAAGTTTTATTGTAAAATATAATCTAATTGTAAACAAGAATCTTCTACATATTCAATTATTAAATTTTCCCCATCCAAAATTACCTCAGTTTTCATTAAAACTTCCAAACTATCAGCAATATTCCTTGTTATAATTTCTCCAGTATCTTTTTTAAACAGCCTCAATTTGTTCTCACTTGCTTTATTGTTGTTATTAGCTATTTTGCATAAACTTGCAATGGCATCGATTATTCTCCCAACAGTCCATGTTTTTGATACAAAAACTGGGAAAAATTTAGAACCCAAACATTTTGGAAATTGAATATTAAAATATACTCTATCTGTAGTTGGAATAGTTTTTAAACCTGTAGCTTTATTTTTAATTTTCATGAGTTGAACTTGATTGGCCAGCTGTCCATTTTTTTGTTTCTTCTTTACTTTATTTAAGTTTTCTGCGACCTAAAAATATAGTTGTTTATGTCACAAGGCTAAGAAGTAAGTCTTTTTGTGCTGTACACGTTAGCGGAGGCCAACAATTGAGTGAAGCACAAAAAGACACTTTTCACAACATTTAATCTTCAAGGCGCAGTTTTATTTGTTAAATGATAGGTACATAAAACGTGCTTACAATAATTATACTTTTAATAATTTTTATTTTAATTATTATAATAACAATTATATTTATAGCCTGTTCGATAAATATCCGACTAATAGGACAAATAGTAGTAAGGCTAAAAATCGTACTATTATTCAGAATTCGACAAAAACAACACGCAAAAGTAAGGTTAGTTTAGGATGTTACACTAGGGTGGTTCTTATTTGACCGATGTCGAAATTTTAATCGTGGCGCCCCCTCATTTGTTTTTAAAAAATATAAAAAAATGTATGCCAAATTTGAATGTCCTAACTTATTTTCTTCTATTGCCTGTAACAACAAGAAGTTTTCCAGATAGAGGATTTTTGCATTTAATGTTTTAATTTTTTAAAATTACTAATATGAAAAAGTATAATTTTTTGAGAAAATATAAAGGACATAAGTTACTTTTAAACAAAAAAAAGATATCATGTATTTTCATCCCAAGGTCTTTTTTACTTCGCTCGATTATTACTTACAGTTTTTCATATAGGGAATTTTTGCTTTAAAACGCAATAATTTAGTTACAGTTAGTCTAATTAGTCCAGCTAAGTAATTTTCCTAATTTGTAACGACACATACTTCCACACATATACAAATCATTTCTGACTGAGACTGTTTCCATTTCGTGGGGGTAAAGTAGGAGAAATGTTCTCACAGGGTAGCGGGCATTGAGGCGCATGCGTCAGCTGCATTGCCGGTTTAAAAAAAAAATAACATATTTTTGTCCCTATTTAAGAAGTATAATAAATACTTTTTAATAAATTGGATGTAAATTGTATGAAAAAAGCATTTAACAATAATAAACTCACAAAATGATGATATTTTAGATTTTATAATGGCAATTTTATAAAAGCAAAAATTTGGCAACATCGTATTTTGATCACGATTATAGCCAAAAGATTTTTATGGTAGACATATAAATATGTAGATGGTTATTATAATTATCAATTTTGTTTGTTTTCTGTTGTATACCAATTGTTTTGGCATTGTTTTTTTCCATTGTTTTAACGAGATTTTAGTGGATTTTACATAATATGCATATTATGCCACTTTTTGCTTTTTATAAAGCCAAATCACAAAAATGTTTGTAAGCTTAACCCAGGCTATGGAATCAAATAATTTAGAAAAATTTGATATAACCTAAATTTTGTTTAGTTGACAATTCGTATCATAAATGGACGTATTAATTTCTCTATCTAATGTTATGTGATGTCTATGATATCATATATTTTAAATCCCCCACTTATGAACTGACTATGCGCATAAAGGAAAATGGCACACTACGAGAACAAATTTCCCCTTAGAAACGGGAACAAGGTCATCTATACAAAATATAGGCAATAAGCGGTTATGTGTGGAAGTATGTGTGTAACGATACACATTACGACATCTATGAGACGATTTTCCTAACTACCCGACGTCAAGGAAAGAGTTGGACTACCAGAAACCTGCAGTTAGACGGAACTCTAAAAGATGGCGCTTGGACAGCTGTCAACCGCATATATGTTGTCAACACTTGTTGCACACGGCCCGTGTGAAGGATTTATTTCACACGGCCCCAATTGTTTTTTATCAAGTCTGTCATCAGAATTTCGTCTATAAAACCGCTGCATTTTTCAATGGACAGTCAGTCGTCTGGTGGCTCAATTCCAAATGGTGTTACCAATTGTGAGCCCGAAAACCAACCACTAAAGCACAGAGAACTCTCAGTGGAATATTAACAGTAAGTTAACCTGTTTTTAATATCACAGGGCTTTAAGCCGTATAATATTAAGCTTTAATAACAGAGTTAATTAAACTGTAAATCCTGTATGCATAAAACATAAACTAACAACATGTATTTTTCCACTAGAGTCCAATTGCAAATCTGCCCTGTCTTTCTGTAGGACTGAAAACTACGCCCGTGCCTGCCAGTTGCCTGTGAAAAGCCCTGGAACATTTGCCTGTCCTGACTAAAGGCTGTGAAAGAACCTTTGTGTTCATGGTCTACGATACTTGTAAATACTGTATATATAATTGTAATATAATTTTGTACATACTTTTACATTGGTAAATAAACCAGTTTAAGTTTACTTTTGCATTTTAAATTGAACCACCAACCCTAACTGATTCTTATAAACCCTACTTTCTCCACTGAATAAAAGCAACCCGAGGTAGGTATTTCTCTATATCTGAAGAGTCAACCGGAGAGGAACCTTGGTGAAGTACTTAAGGCCATAACCAGCCTAGGTACGACACAAATTGCATGACCTAATAACAGTACCAATTCGATTCTAATCTATAAACTAATCGTTACAAACTTATGTACGCAAACTTCGCAATGTTATTACCAAAAATGTCATCTGCCTTCAGAAAACAAACAGGTCCCTACACTGAGAAAAGTAAACTATTTCAAGTTTTAATTATTAACTGAACAGTTTTTGCACATTCAATACGACCAATGCGCATAATTGTTTATTTAAAAGTCTCGAAATGTTACCTACAGTCTTTACATTAAACTCGTATAGTTTTTTAAATATACATTTTTATTACTACAAAAATGCACAAAGTCAGTTCAGACAGTATATTAATGAAAAATCTCTAATTTAAGCACTCTTGTATAACAACCTCTGATTGTTTGTTTGTTGTGATTTCTTTTTATTTTTTTCAAAAACATAATTTTTACTTAAAAATAAGAATAACATTTTCGTAAGTGTTAAACTAACAACGTCATTTTTCTCAGTGTAGACAACCCATAAACAACTTAACCAAATAAAAAAAGGCGTAAGAGTAAATAAACCAAATCAAGCAGAAACGACACCAAATTTAGATTTTATAAATAAGTGTTGTGTGCGTGTAATAGGTATATATAATATTGTATGTATATTAGGGTGGAGCGATTTTCGGAAATTTAGAATTTAAGAATGCCTGGTACCGGAATAGATGTCTTTCAGGGTAAGTATAAACCAAAAAAAAAACTCACTCCTATTGGACTTAACCTTGAGGTTCCTAGAAGAGGTTAAACCTTTGTATTTTTTGTTTTTTTTTAACTTAAAAAATATATCCTATAAAAAAATCACAGTTTTTTAATCCCTGCTGTAAGAATATGTCTCATTCTGGTCTAAAAATATACGTCCAATTTATTAACTATAAACAAAGATGTCCCTGCTATGGATGTGATGTAGTTGCCTACGCTGCAACGCTGCGAGAAAAGCTGAGCTGCCAAAAGAAAAATAATTAATGTAATTAGTTAGCTGTCAAATATTTCACTTTATTTGTAACCATGGTACTAAGACAACAAGGTATATCCACGCGCATCTTTATCTTCCGTCTCTCTTTATCCTCTGACTTCATCAAGTGATAAAGTACGTTGTCGCTGCACGTGCAAATTTCTATATACCAACCGTCAATTTTGTCACGTAGTAACGTAATGCGCCTGACTGTCTAAAATTCGTTCGCCAACTGATTAAACCTTGTTGTCTTAGTCCTAGTCTTAGCCATCAAGCGCCAAGTGTAACAGTGTGTGCCCTTTCTGTTCTGTGTTTGGTCTCGAGTGTGTTTGGCAGCGAGAGTTCTGTTTATTTAAGAAATTAAATTTAAATAATGCCAAAAACACGGCTAAAAGTGCAGGATTCTATATTTGGAACTTCTAGTGAACTTAATCCTAACGTGCTTCCCACCTATTTGGACGTTATGAAAGGCTATTTGTGGTGGAGAGAGTTCTTAAAATTTAAAAATAACAAAGACCCAAGTGTTTTGGATATATCAAAGAAACTTTTTATTGATATTAAAAAAATATGGCAAAGGGCTTCTCTCCCTACAATATCTGATCAACAAATAAAACAAAAAATAAAAGACTATAATGAAAAATTCAAAGCACTCAAAAGAAACCAAAAATCGGATTATAATAAAAAGTGCCTAGAAAAAATTGAAGTTTTTAAGAAGAACAGTTTGAAACTTTTTGACATATCACCCTGTAAATGTAATGATTTTTCTAAATGCCACTGTTTAGTTAAAGTTCCAATATGTGAAAGAGACTTTCTATCGGATCAAAGAACGACAAGAAAAATGATGATCGGAGGTACAGATGTAAAAATTACGAAGAAAAATTTAAAAACCATAAAAAGGAAAGCATTAGAAAAAACAAGATTAGAGCAGAAGAAATCTAAAAACGAGGGTATATTTAAGAGTGGTTTAACCAATCCGGATTGCAAAAAAGTTTGCTCTGAAGGTAAATACATAAAAATTGACGAGAACATGCCTAAAAATCAGGAAACTATTACATCACTAGAATCAGAGCATCCATCATCGCCAAAAGGTTTTAAGTTGGACTATAATACAGGATTAAATCTTAAAAATCTGGCAGAAGCATGTGATAGGGTCGGCGTATCCGATAGATCAGCATCCCTTATTACAAATGCTGTTTTGAAAGATTTGGGGTTAATAACTAAAGAAGACACAACGAAAATTATAGACAGATCTAAAATTAGAAGAGAACGCACAAAATGTAGTACAGGTCTCATTAAAAAAGAGACAGATGACGAGCTTCCTTTGATTTACGGAATTTATTTTGACGGACGAAAAGATAGGACCTTAGTTTTTGAAAAAACAGAGTCAATTCAACGTAAAAAAATGGTTACTGAAGAACACGTCGTAATTTTGGCCGAACCAGGTTCTAAATATTTAGGACACGTATCTCCAGAAAACGGTAGTGCAAAGTGTATTAAAAATAGTATTATAAAGTTTCTTAAAGACTTATTGGTTAAAGATTTAAATAAGATAAAGGTTGTCGGTTGTGATGGGACCATTGTAAATACTGGTTCAAAAAATGGTGTTATTAGAC